AAGCCATTCTCCTCAGCCTCCCGAGTAACTGGGACTACAGTCCCAAAATTTAAATCTTGTGGCCTGTAATAATGAGTCTCAAGTAGCATGCCTACCTGTGGTTTTAGGAACACTTTTTCTGAACTGTTTAAGAAATAACCCAAATGTGTGCTTTCGTGTAAAACCTTTAATCACACCTATGAGGCTAGCTGCTGAGTTAGGGTGTCATTGTATTTTATGTTTTGATAAATGCCAAGGATCCTGCTGAGGCTTAGCCTCCCACAAAGTATATGTGAAAGCATTTTGATGTTAATGCTAATGACAATAATAACAATAGTTCTTTTTAAAATTGAATACAATGCGATAACATTTTTTATGTACATTCCTATGAGGAGCAAAGTAGTATTTCCCATTCCAGTCACGGTATTGTCACGGATGCTGCATCCCATCCCTAGAGTTCCTGATTCAGTAGGCCTGTGTCAGGCCACAGAGCCTGCATCTCTATCAAGTTCTCAGGTTATGAAGATGCTACTGGTCTAGGGACCACAACTTTGTAACCACTGAATTAAAGGCCCGTTTATTAATGTTACTGCCTGGCAGCTCCTGGAGCAAAAGACTGAATTTATTTTTCATTTTAAATCTTGGACCCCAGCTCTGGGAGGGGTGAAGGGGTGAACCCAGGGCCACGCAGGAAAATCAGGAACGAGTCTTCCCTGCCTCCAATAGCCACAGAAATGTGAGTACTCTGAGGTAAGGACCCCTGTGGTTGGAACCTTGGAACTTTACTTCCCCAATATCTCCTAGTGGTGCCACTTAACTTTACCCACAGAGAACCGAACAGGCACAAGCGCGTGGGAACATATGGGACTTTACCCAGAATTCCATTGCTTGCACTTTCCCACGAAGGTCTGAGCCAATGATAACTCAGGAGAGGGTCGTTTCCTGTGGTGTCAGGGAGGGACTTCCTGTTTCCCTTGGAAATAACTTTCTATGGCTGTATTTTCCGCTCCGGCCACGTGGTCCGTACAGCTACCCCAAGGTGCCCTCTCTGGGATGCTGGAGAAAGATCGAGAGCCCCAGCCCCGTCTCTGTCTCCCTGAGGCTCAGCGTTCCAGACTGGCTCAGGTGGCCTGGCACCTCAGGTTTGCTGTGAGCCCTCCAGGAACATGCGTGCTCCGGTCCTGCATGGTCCCGCACCCACACTACGTTGCCATAGCCCCCCAAGCAGTGGCCTGAGCCTTGTACGCTTTTTTCTTTTTTTTTTTTTTTTTGATACGGAGCCTCACCCTGTCGCAGGGGCTGGAGTGCAGTGGCTGATCTTGGATCACTGCAATCTCCACCTCCCGGGTTCAAGCGATTCCCCTGCCTGGCTAACACAGTGAAACCCCGTCTCTACTGAAAATACACAAAATTAGCCGGGCATGGTGGTGGGCGCCTGTAGTCCCAGCTACTTGGGAGGCTGAGGCAGGAGAATGGTGTGAACCGAGGAGGCGGAGCTTGCAGTGAGCTGAGGTCATGCCAGTGCACTCCAGCCTGGGCGACAGAGCAAGACTCCATCTGCAAAAAAAAAAAAAAAAAAGGATATATTGTAGTACCATTATTTGAAAAAATATTACATTTTTAACTGTCTTTTGTGATGCATGAGTTATTCAGTATCTTGTAACTTAATTTCCAAAAGCTGCTTTTTATATTTTCCATGTATCTCTCTTTTTGATTCATATCTTGATAGCATCCTGTGTCTTATTTCACTCCATGTGAATTGAAGATACTTTTTAGTCATCTATATTGATAATTCTGTAAATATTCAGTTGTACTAAATATAAGCATCCTATATTTGTATTTATTAGGCCAGAATTATCAATCTTGGCGTGAGAATTCACTAGAACTTTAACAATTTTATATTGGTTGTTTCTACTAATTACTGAGATAACAGACATAAAAATGCTCAACATACTCATAGATTTATGTCTTTATCCTTTTTAAAATTGTTGCTTTATGTAATACAAGTCAGCATTATACATTACATACAGTTCAAAATATAATTTCTTGGTGATCGTTTCTTTCTTTTTTCTTTGTTTTCTTTCTTGCTTTTTTTTGTTGTTGTTGTTGTTTTTGTTGAGATGGAGTTTAGCTCTTGTCACCCAGTCTGGAGTGTAATGGCATGATCTCTCGACTCACTGCAACCTCCGCCTGCTGGGTTCAAGCTATTCTCTCGTCTCAGCCTCCTGAGTAGCTGGGACTACAGGCGCCCACCACCACATCTGGCTAATTTTGTATTTTTAGTGGAGACAGGGTTTCACCATGTTGGCCAGGCTGGTCTCGAACTCCTGATTCGCCTGCCTTGGCCTGCCAAACTGCTGGGATTACAGGCATGAGCCACCGCGCTTGGCCAGCGATTATTTCTTTAATACTGATATTTTCTGATATAAATTTTCGTTTTCATGTGTTAATTCTTTGTTGTATGAAATATATTTTTCCCAAAGCTGTTTCATATGGTTTTCTAATATTATACTCTAGAAGTGTTTCTTGTATCCATACTACTGTTGGATTTTTTTTTTTTTCTAGTGAGAGACAGTCTTACTGTGTCACCCAGGCTGGAGTGCCGTGACACCATCAAAACTCTCTGCAGCCTTGGCTCAAGTCATCATCCTGGCTCAGCCTCCTAGGTAGCTAGGATTACAGGCTTATGCCACCACACCCTGCTATTACTTTTTTTTTTTTTTGGTAGAGATGGGGCCTGGCTGTGTGGCTCAGGCTGATCTATTAATAGAATTCCTGACCTCAAGCAATTCTCTTGCTTCAGCCTCCCACATTGCAGAAATTATAGGCATGAGCCACTGTGCCTGGCCTTTTGGAAATTTTTAGCACATCAAAACTTACTAACTGCTAATTTGAGAATTTATTCCATACTCATTTCATGAGATAGCTGAAATATTTGGGTTTATATACATCCTCTGGTTGTGTGTGTGCTTTTCTTTGCCTTACTCATTGTGTGTACTTTATCATTTTTTAAATGTTTTATTTCTTTACATTTCCATTTTTCTTCAAATTTGTAAGATATATACTCTGATTCAGTTAATGTTTAAACTTTAAAAGAGTTATTTAATACATTATAGAGTTAATGTCTTTGCTCTCCTCAAGAAATATAAGAAATTTGTACATTCGTTAATTTGCCCATATCAGTTTATATACTATTGAGGATATGCATGTTAATTCCACCATTCTGTTTCCAGAAGTAAGTATTAATCTTTTACTTTATTATTTATTTATTTATTTATTTTGAGATGGAGTCTCACTCTGTTGCCCAGGTTGGAGTGCAGTGGCACAATCTCGGCTCACTGCAACCTCTGCTTCCCGGGTTCAAGTGATTCTCCTGCCTCAGCCTCCTGAGTAGCTGGGATTGCAGGCACACACCACTACGCCTGGCTAATTTTTGTACTTTTAGTAGAGACGGGGTTTCACCATGTTAGGCAGTCTGGTCTCAAACGCCTGAGCTTGTGATCCGCCCACCTCGGCCTCCCAAAGTGCTGGAATTACAGGCATGAGCCACCATGCCTGGCAGTATTAATATTTTATAAAGATAATGAGTGGTCTCATTAATCCACAGATGCACCCCTGTCTCAGATCCTCATTTCTTCTGTCATCACAGACCATTCACCTGGGATCACTTTCCTTCAACCTTAACAAGGATCTTAAAAGTTTTATTTTATGCCAGTTATTTTTATCCATTAAATTTCTCATTTTGGGCTTTAAATAGTCTTATTTCAGTTTTTCTTAGTCAGTGCCTTTGTTGTGCATAGAAATCTGTTGGCAGTTGTATCTGTAACTGCTTCAGTATGTTATTCCATTGTGTCCCTGACACCTAAATTTATATTGGCTTTGAGTGGAGACAGATAATTTATATTATACATATATATAATTATGTATGTGTGTATATAAATTATATATGCATATATATGTGTATATATACATTATGTGTGTGTATGTATTTTTCTTTAAATATGAATTATTTCTATGCCATCTCATAAAATAAACCAGGTTATAAAATTTTAACTACAGTGACACCTAAGTGGACAGTGGAGTTAAAAACTATGAAGAGCAATTAGTCTTAATAGTTCTGTTTTGAATCATATGGCCTATAAGAATATGTCTTCTGGACGATAGACCTACCTGTAGTTTATGAAACCCTCTTGCATGTGATTTTTTTCAATTAAATGAGTCCAGTGATATATAGCTGTGTTTTTGTGCAAAAATTATAACCATTACTGAGCCGGGCGCCGTGGCTCACACTGTAATCCCAGCACTTTGGGAGGCCAAGGCCGGCGACTCATCTGAGGTCAGGAGTTCGAGACCAGTCTGACCAACATGGAGAAACCCCATCTCTACTAAAAATACAAAATTAGCCGGGCGCGGTGGTGTACGCTTGTAATCCCAGCTACTCGGGAGGCCGAGGCAGGAGAATCGCTTGAACCTGGGAGGCCGAGGGTTGCAGTGAGCCGAGATCGCGCCCATTGCCCTTCAGCCTGGGCCAATAAGAGCGAAACTCTGTCTCAAAAAAATATATATATACTATATATTATATTACTATTATACTGATGCTACTTGAGAGTGGAGGGAATAATTATACTTTGTTTTTTTGTTGTGTTTTTGTTTTTGTTTTTTGAACCGAATTCTGCTCTTGTTGCCCAGGCTGGAGTGCAGTGGCTCGAATCTCACCTCACTGCAAGCTTCTGCCTCCCGGGTACACCATTCTCTCTGCCTCCGGCCCCTCCCGAGTAACCTGGGAACTTGCAGGTGCCCGCCCACTCACACCTGGCTAAATTTTTTTTTGTATTTTTAGTAGAGACGGGGTTTCACCGTGTTAGCCAGGATGGTCTCCATCTCTTGACCTCGTGATCCGCCCACCTCGGCCTCCCAAAGTGCTGGGATTACAGGCGTGAACCACCGCGCCTGGCTGTACTTTTTTTGTTTTTGTTTTTGTTTTTTGTTTTTGTTTTTGTTTCCAAAATCACCACTGATCCTGAAAAGGTAGATCTTTGATTTATCTTTCTAAAACAGTGTGTGTGAGAACCTTGTGTTGAGCAAGACTGATGGTAGCTTGTATGTATTTAGCACGATGTGCCAAGCCCAGTGTTAAGTACTTTTTACCTCACTTCCCATGTTTCCAATGAGGTTGGCTGTAGTATTTTTCATCTGACTGATTTTTCTTTGTTTGTTTTTTTGGCTAATGACTTCTAAAGACCTCCAGTTCCTGAACTCCAGCTAGGGTCCCATCCCCAGAGTTTATCAGAAGGTGTAGGTTGGGTCCAAGAATTTTCAGTTTTTAGAAGTTCATAGTGAAGCTGATGCTGTAAAACCACGTATCAAATTGGGAATCAATGAATTAGAAGAGGCTCATGTTTTCGCCATGTTACGTGCAAACTCCTCCGCTTTTCACCACGAAGAAAAGTTCCCTGTGGCCTCACCAGAAGCAGATACCAGCACCATGCTTCCTGTGCAGCCAGCAGAAAGGTAGCAAATTACATCTCTTTTCTTTATATGTTAAAAAAAACTAGAAGGTCATTCAAGGTTTTACAAAAAGGCCCACAAACGAAATACAGACATCGTTCAATTTATTCATACGTTTCAATCCCCAAATCTGAGAGGTGAAGCTGGTCTCCCAGGGCCTCAGAAGCAGGAGGATTAAAGAATGGGTCCCTTGCTGGCGACTTCAGCGCCGTGGCCTTGTCCCAGGTGGCCATGGAAATCAGGGTGCATACCCTTTAAAAGCAGCTTTGGCCTCCGAGACACCGTTTTCACAGTCTTTCTTCCCCTCCCTGCGCGACGCCTCTTGGCGGACATCCGGGAGAACCCGAAAGTCGCTCGTTGCCTGGTTGGATGCAGCGTACAAACTACATTACCCAGAAATCTGTGCCCAGCGCATTGGTAGCCGGAGTGCAGCCAATGACAGCCCAGAAACTGGGTGTTTCCTGCTGCTCGGGGAGGCGGGGCGAGACCTCTGGCGTCGCCGTCGTGACGTATTTTTCCTTTGCCCGGTCTGTGTATTCTGGTTGTGAAGGCTGAGTCCTAGATGGGGTCGCCTTTCTACTCGGCTCTCGCGGAACCTAGCAAGGAAAGACAGTGAAGGCTGCAGGACCTTCCTCCGCACTTTTGTTACAATCCATGACCCCTGTCGTGGGAAGGGCGGCCTCTCGCGGAGGTGTCTGCCGGGGCTGGGCTCTTACCGAGGCCTCCACACACGCCCTCTTGTCCTTGTCTCCGCCGGAGGCAGCCGCCTTAGTCTTGTGAGCGTTTTTACACCGGATAGACTGAGACTCGCAGTGCTACACTCAGCCCGAGGGCGTCCAGCGCGGTGGAGGCGTGGGGTTTCGGCTGAGCCCACGGGGCACAGTCCGTTCACCCCCTTCTCACGTTCACCTGCTTCTCATGGCAGCGGCGGTGCTGATGGACCGGGTTCAGGTGAGTGGGGGAATCCCTCAAGTGCACACCGGCCTGGCTGTGTGTCCTGCGATGTTCGCTCTCATCGCGCACTTGTCTTGACCACCCTGGAGGGTGGTCACTGTCGCATTATGTGGAGGGGTTCCGCCCCCCTTATCTATGGCATAAGGTATGGAACGGACTCGAAAGCACAGGGCAGTTCGTACAAATGCATGCATGAAGATGAGGATGAGTTTGGAGAGTTCCGGGAACCGTCTGTGCCTGGTGAGAACAGGGACTGGGAGTCAGAGGTAGGCCTGGAATGGCAGCCCGAGGAGCTGGTCCTCTCTTCTAAGGGTGCTGGGAGTCATGCAAGGTTTGGTGCAGGGAAGGGAGGTCCTCTGACGCAGTTCTTAAAAGGCTTCCTCTGGCTGCAGGGTGGGTAGTAGACTGGGGAATATAGGATAGATGGGAAGATCAAGATGGAGTCTACTGAAATAGTCCAGGTGAGCGTTGACGGTGTGGGCCAGAGTGGTGGCAGCAGAGGTTAGAGAATGTATGGGTTTTGTATGTATTTTATAAGTAAGGCTGACCAGATTCTCTGATGAGACGTAGTAATGATATCCTGGGATTCTTCACATGTCTGTCTTCACTTGAGACTGGGGGCGGTGAATGGAGGTCATTTCTAGTTTAGTGTCCTGAATCTGGGCCATGAGTTGTATGGAGTTATGTGGAGAAGTCACCACCTGGCGACCAATGGGATGAGTACTGGAAAAATATATCAGACCCAGGAACAGGTACGCTCAAATGCTTGTAGGATTGAGTTGGGAGCGCTCAGGGAACCTCAGGTCTTAATTACCTTTGTTGGAAACAGATATCAGAGGAAGGAGTGAGGCAGGAATGGCTGGCTGAGGAGCTGGACCCCTGTCCTGAGTGTGGTAAAAGTCGTGGGAGATTTGGAGCAGAGGAGGGAGATGATCTGACTTGGATTTTAATAAGCTCTCTGGCTTTCAGGTTGAGAACAGACTGTGAGCATGAGGGATGAGCTACTGCAGTAGTGTTGATAGTATCTGGTCTAGAGGGGTGGCTGTGGAGGTGAGAGAAGTTGGTAAATTTTCTGTTTGTTAAGTAGGGTGATTGGAATTTTTGATGTGAAGGGTGAAAGAGAGAAGAGAGTCGTGGATGACCCTAAGGTTGGTTGGTTTTTGCTGTAGCTGGTAAAATTATGGAAATGCCATCAACTGAGATGGAGAAGTTGGCAACAGGTATGATTTTTAGTGGTTATATCAGGAATTAGGTTTCGGTCATGTTTAGGTTAAGAGGTCTTTTGTCGGCCGGGCATGGTGGCTCACATCTGTAATCCCAGCATTTTGGGAGGCCGAGGCGGGCGGATCACGAGGTCAGGAGATCAAGATCATCCTGGCTAACACGGTGAAATTCTGTCTCTACTAAAAAAAAACAAAGAAAAAGAAATTAGCTGGGCATGGTGGTGGGTGCCTGTAGTCCCAGCTACTCAGGAGGCTGAGACAGGAGAATGGCTTAAGTAAACCCGGGAGGCGGAGCTTGCAGTGAGCCTAGATCGCGCTACTGCACTCCATCCTGGGCGACAGAGCAGTGAGACTCCATCTCAAAAAAAAAGAAAAAAAAAAGAGATCTCAGTCGACATCTTAGTTGAGGCCTCAAGAAGACACACAGGATTTTAGTTCTGGGGAAGGGTTCTGTTGAAGAAGTTGAAAAAAATGGTGACCAGTGTGTGGAGTGGGATGGGGTATCTTCAAGTCATGGTGGTAATGCTGTTATTGAGTAAGAAAGTTGAAACGAGACTGAGAGAAAACTGGGTCTGTTGCTTAGGCACCTGGGCGGCAGTGGTGGATAGTGTGAAGACACCAGCACTTCCTGGACACCGCATGCAGAGTGGGATGGGGGAGGAGAGATGTCATGGAGGTGCCTATGGCATGGACCAGTGGTGGTCGGGATCTCAGATGTGAGGAAGGTGTAGTCCAAAGAGTAATGTGCGCTTTGGGAGGAGTGTGAACTGATGGCCTTAAGAATCTAGTATAGGCAGCTCATGGGAGAAGATGGAGCTGAAGTTTGGTTGTGTTTAGAGGCATTGTCTGGACCACACCAGGAGAACTGGTTGGTAGGAGAGTGTTTGGGACCCTTCACGCCAGACCCAGAGTTGAGACAGCATCTGTCTGCACACTTGCCTGGTTCTGCTCTGGGCTGGACACCATGGGGAGAGGGACATGAGGAGAGAGCAGACATAGTGGTGCCAAGGTCTGTATCTCCTCTTAGTTGGGAGGCTGGGGAGGTGAGGGACTAAAGGGTGGGTGTGTGAGTGTATAGACTAGGGAGGAGGGAGTTCTGGGGAGAGATGCTGAATGTGGACTCAACTGTACTCATCATGGCAGAGTTGTGTGACCTTTGAGGATGTGTTCGTGTACTTCTCTCGGGAGGAGTGGGAACTCCTTGAGGAGGCACAGAGATTCCTGTACCGTGATGTGATGCTGGAGAACTTTGCACTTGTGGCCACACTAGGTAAGTCTGTGTTTTAGTTGTCTAATGCTACATGGCAAATTATCCCAAAGCTTAGTAACTTCAAACAATAAAAATTAATTATCTCTCCAGTTTCAGTGCACTGGGAATCTGGTCAGAGCATTTTTTGTTGTTTATTATTTTGAGGGTTGTTTTTTTTTTTTTTCTAGACAAAGTCTCACTCTGTCACCCAGGCTGCAGTGCAGTATTGTGATCGTGGTTCATTGCAGCCTTAAACTCTTGGGCTCAAGTGATCCCCCCACCTCAGCCTCCTGAGTAGCTGGTACTATAGGTGCATGCCACCACTCCCAGCAGCTCTTTTTACTTTTTGCAGAGATAAGGTCTTGCACCTCTTTGTCCTAGGTTCTCCCCTCATCCTCTGGATGACACTTCCTGGGGCCTGATTGTACCAGGACTTTCAGGAGCTGACACAATCACTTCTTGTGGTGATTACAGGGCTGTCCTGGTACATCCTCCTTGGAGAGTATTTTTTCTAAACAGTCTGTTTTCTCTGTGGAGTGGGCCTACCTGCGCCACTCACCTGCCCTTTGCTTGCTTTACAGCTTTCATTTTCCCAGTCCCACGCAGTTGCCCAGTTGGAGAGGGGCAGAAAACCGTGGGCGCCTGACAGGGCAGACACCACTGCAGCCACAGTGAAGGAGACCTACAGAGGGCCTGGCCCTGCTGAATGGGAGCTGGAAGAGGGTGTCTGTTATGGTTGGGTTCAGATCGAACCTTCAACTTGTTTTGTGTTTGTCAGTGTTTTGTCGCCAAGGCCCATAGCGATTCTTCACATCTACTTTTCTTTCCTCATTCTTGGCACTTTTCCCGTTTGTCATTTCTCACCTGTCTTCCATCCTTTGGGTGTTTTCTCACTTTTTTGGCCTCCATGTTTCACTTCCTCTCTTCAACACTAGCTTACTTTAATGTGTTATGAGTTTTGCTCATTAAATAGTCCTCGAGAACTAGCTACTTACTTGGAGTCAGATTTTCCTGGGCATGGACACACCCATTTGCACAGAGCTCACCTGACACCAGCAGCCAAGGCCCTGCTGAAACCCTCTTGCAGAGAAATCAGCTAGAGGCGTAACCTCTACTCCCAATCCTGTATGCCATCGTGTTTAGGTCTTTACCCCGTAGTTAGGGTTCCTCCATTCTGTGACCTGTACAGGCCCTGTACTGACAACCAACCCTTCTTTACGCTGCTCCCGGCTCTCTTGTCCTGCCAACAAGCCAGTGGACTCGCATTGGTGTTAGACACACATTTGTGATGGGGCCGCTGCCTCCCACCACAGTCCACATGCACTTCACCAGCATCGTTTTGCTTTCAGGTTTTTGGTGTGAAGCGGAAAATGAGGAGGCACCTTCCGAGCAGAGTGTTTCTGTAGAAGGAGTGTCACAGGTCAGGACTGCTGAGCCAGGTCTCTTCCAGAAAGCACCCCCATGTGAGATGTGTGACCCACTCTTGAAAGACATTTTGCACCTGGCCGAACACCAGGAATCACACCCTACACAGAAACTGTGCACACGCGGGCCGTGTAGGAGAAGATTCTCATCCAGTGCAGACTTTTACCAGCACCAGAAGCAACATAGTAGAGAGAATTGCTTCAGAGGGGATGATGGAGGGGCCTCATTTGTGAAGAGCTGTACAGTTTGCATGTTTGGGAGATCCTTTACCTGCAGGGAGGAAGGGACGGACTTACCAGACAGCTCTGGCCTCTTCCAGCACCAGACCACTTACAACAGGGTGAGGACTGAATGCATGGAGTCTTTCCCACACAGCTCCAGTCTCGGGCAACACCAGGGAGACTATGATGGACAGATGCTCCTCAGTTGTGGTGAGGAAGGAAAAGCCTTCCTGGACACCTTTACTCTTCTTGACAGCCAGATAACTCATCCTGAGGTGAGACCCTTCAGATGCCTACCATGTGGAAATGTGTTCAAGGAGAAATCAGCTCTTATTAATCACAAAAAAATCCACAGTGGAGAAACATCTCATGTGTGTAAGGAGTGTGGAAAAGCCTTCATTCACTTGCACCACCTAAAGATGCACCAGAAATTCCACACTGGGAAAAGACATTATACATGCAGCGAATGTGGGAAGGCCTTCAGCCGCAAGGACACACTTGTTCAGCACCAGAGAGTTCACACTGGAGAGAGATCTTATGACTGCAGTGAATGTGGAAAAGCCTACAGCAGAAGCTCCCACCTTGTTCAGCACCAGAGAATCCACACAGGAGAAAGGCCCTATAAGTGCAATGAATGTGGGAAGGCGTTTAGCCGTAAAGACACACTTGTCCAGCACCAGAGATTTCATACTGGAGAAAGGCCTTACGAGTGCAGTGAATGTGGAAAATTCTTTAGCCAAAGCTCCCACCTTATTGAACACTGGAGAATTCATACTGGGGCAAGGCCTTATGAATGCATAGAATGCGGAAAATTCTTTAGCCATAACTCTAGCCTCATTAAACATCGGAGAGTCCACACAGGAGCAAGGTCCTATGTGTGCAGCAAATGTGGGAAGGCCTTTGGCTGCAAAGACACACTTGTTCAGCACCAGATAATTCACACTGGAGCAAGGCCTTATGAGTGCAGTGAATGCGGGAAGGCCTTCAGCCGTAAAGACACCCTTGTGCAACACCAAAAAATCCACACTGGAGAAAGGCCTTATGAGTGTGGTGAATGTGGCAAATTCTTTAGCCATAGCTCCAACCTTATTGTACACCAGAGAATTCACACTGGAGCAAAGCCTTATGAGTGCAATGAATGTGGGAAATGCTTTAGCCACAACTCCAGCCTCATTCTGCACCAGAGAGTTCACACAGGAGCAAGGCCCTATGTGTGCAGCGAATGTGGGAAGGCTTACATTAGCAGCTCCCACCTTGTTCAACACAAGAAAGTTCACACTGGGGCAAGACCTTATGAGTGCAGTGAATGTGGGAAATTCTTTAGCCGCAACTCTGGCCTCATTCTACACCAGAGGGTTCACACTGGAGAAAAGCCTTATGTATGCAGTGAATGTGGGAAAGCCTACAGCAGAAGCTCCCATCTTGTTCGGCACCAGAAAGCTCACACTGGAGAAAGACCTCATGAGTGCACCAGTTTTGGTGACCCTTTAGCTGCGTCTCTTAAACTTGTTTAACACCACAAAATTCACACAAAGAGAAAGGCCTTATGAATGCAGAAAATATGTCATCTTCTTGGTCATCCTCATAGGATTGACACCAGAGCAATGCTCTGTGAGTACCCTTTGTGAGAGAACCATCAGCTAGCAGATGAGCATTGTACTTTCATTCCACCCTGGGGAGATTCCTGATAAGCACCACATATGTGGGAAGCTTTCATGAGGCGTGTTGCACTTTGTAACTGTCTAGGGTTCTTGATGGAATTATATCACTGCCAGTGCCTGTGGCGGAAGCCATCTTATTGCTACCAGCTGTGTGTATCAATCACTCCATTTTGCTCAGGGAAGGCAGACCTCTGTGCTTTCTTTCCTGTTCCCTGCAGATAATCATGAGTATTTTCAAGGACCGCCCCCCCCAACCCCCCACCATTGAGGGTCCTCATCTTTTCCCTCATGATTAGGTTCTGAGCAAACATGATCTAGCTCTGGCTAAAAGGACCTGAGCTAGGGTCTGCTGGGATTTCCTGACAAGATTTTGTCAGGAAACGTGATCGCTGTGACTTACTTGTCTTATTGCCAAATCGCCCAGGTTTGGAACTGCTTGTCCCATGCTGCTCTGGTTTAGACAGTGATAAAGGCCTGTTGTGGCAGCCTTTACTCTTGGGGATTTTGTTACTGTGTAGACTAGATTGAGAAAAGAGTTGGGTTCTGTCGTGAAGGGAGTAACACCTTTTGTGGGTACCACCTTTATGTGCCTCAGAGGGGACCAAAGGATGGCAGAAGACAGCTCTCAGTCTAGTTTGACCTAATTTACACCATTGCCCTAGGCCTGCTGGAAAGACTAAAAAAAATTTCGTGCCTAACTTTGTGGCCTGGCTGCCAGGATTTCCTGTGAGCCCAATGAGGGCATAGTTGGTGTGAAAATCTGTGCTTCTGGAAGCACCATAAGTTGGGTCCCTTGACTGTCACGTACTCCCCAGCACTGTTGAGGGATTGCTGTTTTCTGTACCTGTACAGGATCAAGTCCCTGATATCCAGAATCCCATAGGCAAGTGACATTGACTGTAAGACCTCTAGGGCAATGTGAAAATCGTGATTGGTACATAAACACTGAGATAATGGAGTGGGGATGACTGTGGCAAACCAAAGGAGATTCAAACATTCTAGCAGGGCATCCACAAATATTGGTGCAGTTATGATGGTGTGGGATGGGGGTGCATAGAAATTCTCAGTACCTTCAGATATCTGTATCTCCTGTGGCCAAGGCCACTGTCAGAGGAAATAATCTAAATGTGGATTCCTGTGTCTCCCTGGGCAGTTGGCCTTACAGCCATCACTGCACAGACAGGAACCTCAGCAGTGACAGAAGAGAGATCCAGGGATGGGTCTTCTCTGACCCAGCCAGCATCCCTAGTGACTGAGGTGGACGCGGACTTCATTGCTCACCAATTTTTAGCAACATTGAGGCAGGGCTCACTCTCCTAAATTGTAGGGAGAGGAGTATTGTAGAGCCAAAATAGTTGACGTCTAATTTTCCTAGTGGAACAGTATATATAGATTTTAATGAGGAACATTTATTTAACAGCTTTATGGAGGTATGATTAACATGCAATAAACTGCATATATGTAAAGTGTAAAATGTGCTATGTGTCAGCATGTGTATACACCTATGAAACCACCACAGTCAAGATATCCAACACAACAAAAGATTGTCCCTTTATAATCCTCAGTCTTTCCTCATCTTGTTTTCCACAATTCACAAGCAACAGCAAGCATTTTCTATAATTTTATAAATGAAACCATATGGTGTGTACTTTTTAGGGGGTGGGGCTCTGACTTTTTCAGTAAACAAAACAATTTAAAGGTAAACCAATATCTTGTTGCATGAATCAATTGTTTACTCATTTGTATTGCTGAGTAGTATTTCATTGTATACCACAAGTTTTCTTTTTTGTCAACTTAATTGTTACCGATGTTTGGGTAACTTTCAGATTTTGGCTACTACAAATAAACCTCTGAAGATTCGTGTGCAAGTTATGGCTGAATGATATTCCGTTCTATAAATATACCTCAGTTTCTTTATCCATTTACTTATTGAAGGACAGTTGCTTTCAAGTTTTGGCAGTTATGAAATAAACCTACTACATATTTGTATAGTTTTTCTGTAGACATGTTCTTCTTTTTTTTTTTTTTTTGAGACGGAGTCCTCGCTCTGTCGCCCAGGCGGGAGTGCAGTGGCCGGATCTCAGCTCACTGCAAGCTCCGCCTCCCGGGTTTCACGGCCATTCTCCTCGCTCAGCCTCCCGAGTAGCTGGGAGTACAGGCGCCCCCACCTCGCCGGCTAGTTTTTTGTATTTTTTTTAGTAGAGACGGGGTTTCACCGTGTTAGCCAGGATGGTCTTGATCTCCTGACCTCGTGATCCGCCCCGTCTCGGCCTCCCAAAGTGCTGGATTACAGGCTTGAGCCACCGCCGCCCAGCCTGTAGACATGTTTTCAACTCATTTGGATACATGCCAGGAGTGCAATTTTTCTGTCAATATAGTATGTTTAGTCTTGTAAGAAACTGCCAGGCTGCCTCCAAAGTGGCCTCTACAATTTTTTATTTATTATTATTATTTTTTTTGAGACAGAGTCTCGCTCTGTTGCCCAGGCTGGAGTGCAGTGGCATGATCTCGGCTCACTGCCCCTCTACCTATTTAGTTGGCCAGGCTGGTCTCAAACTCCTGACCTCAAGTGATCACCCCCTCCTTGGCCTCCCAGAGTGCTGGGATAACGGGGGTGAGCCACTGCGACGGGCTTGTGGCTGGTACCATTTTGCATCCAATTAACAATGAATAACATTCCTTTTGCATCTCATCCTAGCCAGCATTTGGCGTTTTCAGTATTTTGGATTTTAAAATGCCATTCAAATAGGTTTGTAGTGGTATGCCATTGTTGCTTTAATTTGCAATTCCCTAATAACACACAATGAATATCTTCTTTTTTAAGGCAGGGTTTCTTTTTTAAAGGCAGGGTTGTTTTGTTTTGTTTTGTTTCGTTTTGTTTTGAAATGTGCTGGGATTACAGGCGTGAGTCACTGTGCCCAGCCTGACTGCGGTTTTTTTTAATATGAGTTTCACACATCTGAGTAAGTGGCTTGCAGACAGAGAAGTTAACAACTTTGGCTGTCAGTTTGTACCTGTGATTTGTGAATACCCAAAAGACAATACAGAATCTAAGACAAACACATAACAGTCCTGTATACACAGAGCAGCTGGCAGCCCTATTCCCAGGTGTTCCCATTGTTCTACCATTGAACTGAAACCCAGTTCATACATGCTATTGAACATTTTGTAGAGCAGTAAATACACATTCCACAGCTCCCTATTCATTTTTATTTTTATTTTTTTGAGATGGAGTCTCGCACTGTCACCGCAGGCCTGAGTGGCAGTGGGTGCTATCTGTTTGCTCACCTAGCAATTCCGGGCGCTCCTGGGTTAACGATTCTTTGCTGCCTCAGCCTCTCCGTAATCAGCCTGGGATTCCACAGGGCACCCACCACCGCGCCTGGCTATTTCTTGTATTTTTAGTAGACACAGGTTTCACTATGTTGCCAGGCCGGTCTTGAACTCCTGAACCTCTTTCTGCCCACCTCCGGGCCTCCCAGAAGTGTGGGATTACAGGCGTTGAGCCACCGCACGCCCTTCATTTTTATTTTTTGGAAAGTCCTTTCCATTTATTATCTTTACTTATCCTCCAAACAGTTAATAAGCATGTTTTCAGTAGGAAAAAAGAATTACGGATAAGGAGACCAGAAGCTAAATGGTTCCAAGGTTCCAGCACAGCCAGTCTCAACCTTCTTTCTTTGACTTCTCGAGACTTTTGCTACACTTCATATAAGTCTTGCTTTTTTCTCCCCTTCACATGTCGCAGATTTCTGTAGACTATTTCCTGCCACTTTTTTTTGAATAGCAAATATCACTGTTATGTCCACTGCCGCCGTCCTGTAGCCCTCTGCCATTTCACAGGACCTCGGTCCCAGCAGGAAGCACTCCCCACGGAGTGAGGCCTTGAGAACAGTGACCAACTTGCCTGACTTCTTATCACATCTGCCTGGGAAGGTCCAAGGGGTCACTATCACCCCGCGGAAAAGCGCCACCAACTGCCCTCAGGACACATGCTTTGAATATCTCTTCGCCGTGGCGCTGTGCTCTGCTGTAATCCAGCAATTTGCAGGCCGCGCGGGTGATGGCCCGGACCCAAGCGCCATGGTGAAACCCGTATCTCTACTAAAATACAAAAAAATTGCCCGGCGTGGTGGCAACGCACTTTAAAGCCAGCTGCTCAGGAGGCTGAAGCAGAAGGTCGCTTTGAACTCCGGGGGGCGGAGGTTGCTAGTGGGCCGAGATCATGGCCATTTCACTCAGGCCTGGGGTGAAAAGAGCGGAGAATGCCGGCGTCAGAGGCGTGCTCAAAGCTGTTAATCCAGCACTTTGGGAGCCGAGGCGGGGTGGATCACGGTCAGGAGATCGGAGGTACTATCACTGGTTAACCATGGTGAACCCCGTCTCTTCTAAAATACAAAAAAACTAGCCGGGGGGTGGTGGCGCCTCGGTCTCAGTCTTGGGAGCTGAGGCGGAGAAATGGCGTTGAACCTTGGGAGGCGGAGCTTGCAGTTGAGCCGAGATCCACGCCAACTGCACCTCCAGCCTGGGAGACCAGCGAAGATCCGGTCTCAAAAAAAAAATTAAAAAATAAAAATGGAAAAGAGCGGAGACTCCTCAAAAACAAACAAACAAAACCAACCACATTCCTCCTGGCAAACCATACCCTCCCACCACCCCACCCCACCCCACCCTTACCCCTTCACCCAGACCTATAATTGCCCCGGCCTGAAAGCGCTGGTGGTTCCTGGCAGGTAGCTAGTTCTTCTCCATTGCAGGTCTTGTGCTGGACATAAAACCTTGCATTTGCTGTAGAGTTGCCAACTCTTGCCTTCTTTAACCTCGCCTTCCCTTCAAAACCTAACAATGTTATTAATAGATTTCTGTAATTTTCTTTTTTTTTTTTTTGTAAAGAGCCTCCGTCGGCCCAGCTGGAGTGCAGTGGCGGATCTCAGCTCACTACAAGCTCCGCCTCCCGGGTTTTACGCCATTCCCTTGCCTCGGCCTCCCGAGTAGGCTGGGACTACAGGCGCCAGCCACTCGCCCGGCTAGTTTTTTGGTGTATTTCTTAATAGAGACGGGGTTTCACCGTGTTAGCCAGGATGGGTTCTCGATCTCCTGACCTCGTGATCCGCCGTCTCGGCCTCCCAAAGTGCTGGGATTACAGGCTTGGAAGCCCACGCGCCGGCCTGTAATTTCATTTCACAGTATTTTCACAATTTCAACTTCCTTGTAAAACGATAACTCACTTCTCAGGAAGGAGATAATCTTAGCCGGGCGTGGTGGTAGGGCGCCTGTAATCCCAGCTACTCGGAGGCTGGAGGCAGGGAGATTGCTTGAACCCGGGAGGTGGAGGTTGCAGTGAGCCAAGATCGCGCCATGCACTCCAGCCTGGGCGACAGGTGAGACTCTGTGTTTTTATTGGGATAATACGTGCCCTATGTACATATGCTCCAACTGTGGAATCGGCTAAATGTCCTTCTAGGAAATGGCATGTATCAGTCGCTCTCATTTTCAGATAGGATTGAGACTTTTAAAATAAATGTAAAATATTTCAGACATGAGTAATAAGTATTAATTTTTTTCTTTTTTTTTTTTGAGACCGAGTCTCGCTCGTCGCCCAGGTGAGTGCAGTGGTGTGATTCGGCTCACTGCAATCTCTGCCTCCCGGATTCACGCCTTCCTCCCTCAGCCTCCTGAGTAGTTGGGACTCAGGCGCCCGCTACCATGCCGACTAACTTTTTGCCATTTTTAGTAGAGTCGGGGTTTCACCGTGTTAGCCAGGATGGTCTCGATCTCCTGACTCGTGATCGCCGCCTCGCTCCCAAAGAGCTGGGATTCCAGGCGTGAGCCACCGCGCCCGGCCTGTAATAAGTATTATTAGAATAAAAGCATTGTACTCTTGGTAGGAACGCAATCACTGACTGTACAGACAGTAATGATGTTTTCTTTTGGATCCAGAGGCACAGCTTCACCCTTTCAATCTACGTCGATATCTCCTGTCATCTTTTGTGCAAATTCCCAGCCATGTAGTCTGTCTTTGTTCTCTTGGACCAAGCATATTGAAGCTTAATAAACAGAAGTCAAAGCTTAACTGTATGTGTATTTGAAAAGCAACATATGGCTGAGAGGCATGAGTAGAAACAGAGTGCCTTTATGGTATGGGGTGTCCCTTTGGGGGGTGTAGCCACTGGGAACTTGCTGTGCTTCACAATCCGATATCATAGGTCCCCCACATTTCTGTGAGTATCCTAGACCTTACTTCAAGAAAATCTGGTTATGTCGCCTTTAAGAGCAACCCAAGCCCCGTCCTGTCTTTGGAGTCCGGCACTGCCTTTACCAGCTCCCGTGACGGTGCCACCGAGCCTCTACCCGCCATATAAAGCCTGACCAACGCTCTAAGGCAAGTCCAGAAGCGGGGTCGAAACTTCATAACCCAGAAGACACTGCGGTTCTCGGAGGCGCAACTGACCCAATGAAGGTACAGGAAGGAATGTTTGCGTGCGTGCGTGCGTGCGTGCGTGCGTGCGTGCGTGCGTGCGCATCGTCGGAGGGCGGGACTTCCGGCGTCCTCCGAGGTAGTTGATTTGGTTCCCTCTGGTGTTTTCACTAGCTCCGGCCTTTGGCGCTCTATGACGTCACCGAAGCGACGGAGCGGAAAAGCGCGAGAAGCGGCTGGGTTCCCTCGGCGCAGAGGCGGTAGTGACACAGGCACAACTGACCGTGGCAGAGGCTCAGCTGCTAAGGACTGGGGACGGCGGTGTCCTTGTCTTGCCTTTGTCGCTCCCGCCCCTCTCTTCCCTGGCTGGGCTGGCGGAGTCCGCGCCGAAGAACCTAAGGTGGGTGCCCCATCCCAGGCCTCCCAACTCCGCCCGACCCCTCCTTCCAGTGCTGAAGCCCACAGAAGGGGCCCTGCCGGTCAGGCCCCTTGTCCCGAAGAAGGTGGCGTTCCTGTGTGGGGTCCCCGTATCAGCTGGTTTGATGCAGCCCCAGAGCTCCCCTTCGGGAACCTCAGGTTCAGGGCATGGAGGCGCTGCCGAGTGGGCCGCGTCGGGGAGCCCGGAGTGTGTGTTGTTTCTGCGGGAAAGAGAGTTTTGTGAATTCTCTCTTGGAATGGCAACCTGAGCAGCCAGTAACCATGGAAGGTTGTCAAGGGAGGACCAGTCGGAGGGGCAGGTACAGAGTTAGAACGAGCAGGGTGGGGAATTGACACAGAGAGACCGAGAAGAGGCCACTGCAGTGGATCCCAGAGACTGCACCAGAGCCATGGTAGAAGAAGGGAGATGTGATGGGATTCTGGATAGACCTGGAAGATAGAGCCAACAGGTTTCCCTGCTGTATCAGATGTGTCTGTGAGCAAAAATAGGGAGTGAGGGGCCATTTTTTTTTTTTTAATTTTGCCTGAACATCTGAAAGAATGAAGTTGGGGAAATCAGCAGCATGAGGAGTAGGTTTCATGGAGAAGATCATGGGTTGCAGTTTGGCCAGTGTCATTCTCAGGCGTCTCAAGTGGAAAATGTCACATGAGTAAGGGGACAGAAAGGTCTGGAGTCTACAGAAGAGAGCTGGTGTAGTTTCTTCAAAAGAATAGAGGGTGGCCGGGCGCGGTGTCTCCCGCTGGTAATCCCAGCACTTTGGGAGGCTGAGGCGGGCGGATCACGAGGTCAGGCGTTCAAGACCAGCCTGACCAACATGGTGAAACCCCATCTCTACTAAAAATACAAAAACTAGCCAGGCGTGGTGGCGTGCGCCTGTCATCCCAGCTACTCGGGAGGTTGAGGCAGGAGAATTGCTTGAACCCGGGAGGTGGAGGTTGCAGTGAGCCAAGATCGCGCCACTGCACTCCAGCCTGGGCGACAGAGCAAGACTCTGTGTCAAAAAAGGTGCAGAGCACGGGTCTCTTCCGCGGAAACTGACATTGCGTTTCCGTTGTCGGCCTCCCGCTGCAGGAGCCATATATTGAAGACCATGTCTGGGAGCTTCTACTTTGTAATTGTTGGTCACCATGATAATCCAGTTTTTGAAATGGAGTTTTTGCCAGCTGGGAAGGCAGAATCCAAAGACGACCATCGTCATCTGAACCAGTTCATAGCTCATGCTGCTCTCGACCTCGTAGATGAGAACATGTGGCTGTCGAACAACATGTACTTGAAAACTGTGGACAAGTTCAACGAGTGGTTTGTGTCAGCATTTGTCACCGCGGGGCATATGAGGTTTATTATGCTTCATGACATAAGACAAGAAGATGGAATAAAGAACTTCTTTACTGATGTTTATGATTTATATATAAAGTTTTCAATGAATCCATTTTATGAACCCAATTCTCCTATTCGATCAAGTGCATTTGACAGAAAAGTTCAGTTTCTTGGGAAGAAACACCTTTTAAGCTGAATGCAGAAAATTCCAAAATAAATGATACCACTAGAGTGGTGTAAACTCAGGAATGTGTACATTGTAAGTTACTTGATTAAATAGCTTGGAAAACTTTTGTGTATTCTCAGCTTATCTGAACTTAATGAAATTCCTTTTATATTTAAAAATAGTACATTCTGTCTCATGTCACATATCAATAGATCAATTGGTATTCCCTTGTGAACAGTGTTATTTATAAAGAGCTTGTTATCAATAATAATGACTTTTTTTCTTTTTCTTTTCTTTTCTTTTTTTTTTTTGAGAAGGAGTTTCGCTCTTGTTGCCTGGGCTGGAGTGCAGTGGCACGATCTCGGCTCACTGCACCCTCCACCTCCTGGGTTCAAGCAGTTCTTCTGCCTCAGCCTCCTGAGTAGCTGAGATTATGGGCTCCCGCCACCATGCCTGGCTAATTTTTTTCTGTACTTTTAGTAGAGACGGGGTTTCGCCATGTTGGTCAGGCTGGTCTTGAACTCCTGACCTCGTGATCTGCCTGCCTTGGCCTCCCAAAGTGCTGGGATTACAGGCGCGAGCCACCGCGCCTGGCCATGAAATATTTTTACTTAAAAATTGGGAATAAGCTTTTCTTTCCTTTTTTTTTTTTAGATAGTCTTGCTCCTGTCATGCAGGCTGGAGTGCAGTGGCATGATCTTGGCTCACTGCAGCCTCTGCCTCCCGGGTTCAAGCAATTCTCCTCCTTCCCAGGTAGCTGGGATTACAGGCATATGCGTGGCTAATTTTTGTATTTTTAGTAGAGACGGGGTTTCGCCATTTTGGCCAGGCTGGTCTTGAACTCCTGAACTCAGGTTATCTGCCCACCTCAGTCTTCCAGAGTGCTGGGATTACAGGCATGAGCCACTGCTCCTGGCTGGGAATAAGCTTTTGACTTTCCCGATTCAGAAAGGTTGATCTTTTGTTTTTTTCTGAGATGGAGTTTCGCTCTGTTGTCCAGGCTGGAGTGCAATGGCACTTGGCTCACTACAACCTCCGCTTCCTAACTTCAAGCGATTCTCCTGCCTCAGCCTCCCAAAGTGCTGGGATTACAGGTGTGAGCCACCATACCCAGCCCAGATAGGTTGATCTTAACGTAACAATCCAAAACAAATGTCATAGTCAAGATTTGGTAGCTAGATTTAAAACTAAAATATTCTGCAGTTGGGAGTGAAATGTGTTAGCACATATGTGGACGTTATGCATTTAGAGATGTTACAAAAATATATAGGCACTATACACAGCACTACTCAAGAAACCAAAGAAACACTTGTGCAGTGCTATGTGTCACATGTCTGCTTCTGCCAGAGGGTAGGAATAGTGATCCTGCTATAATGTGAGACCCTGAATCATGTTTGTAAAATAGGAGGCTGGGAGCAGTTCCAGGCCACAGTGAAGTGTGTTGCTTCTGTCACTTTATATTCTTTTATTTCCTTTCCCTCAGACAGTAAACTGTTGATACCCGTACTTGTAAAAGTTGTAAGGCAATTTTTAGGATTGTTGTCAAAGAAAAGCTTGGTTTACATTAACATTTGTACTCAGTCTTTTAGGCAATACATCAGAGGGGACTGGGAATTGTGTCTGTGTTCCTATGATAAGTAGATCTTACTGTAAAATAGTAAATGTCCATTGAAAAGCAAGTAATACAACCTGTGCTAATTGGGAGCACTTGAACACTTTTGTTCCATTCTGAATAACTTTTGAGCAAGTAATTCTAAGCTTTGTCTTGTATCCTTGTGTGAAATTGCTACCATCATTTTCACCCTATTTGATTTCTTAAATAAAGATGTTTGTTCAAGAAAAAAAAAAAAAGAATAGAGGGTGTAGATTGAACTGGGCCCTCAGGATCCAATTTGGTAGGGAGGTCTGAAGATCATTGCCTGTGAGCTATGTGGTGAGGGAGGAGAGAGCTGATACTTGGGGTTCAGACCATAGGTGGAGCCATAAGCCGGACACTTACTTTAGAAAGGCACAGATCTTGCCGGGCGCGGTGGCTCAAGCCTGTAATCCCAGCACTTTGGGAGGCCGAGACGGGCGGATCACGAGGTCAGGAGATCGAGACCATCCTGGCTAACACGGTGAAACCCCGTCTCTACTAAAAATACAAAAAACTAGCCGGGCGAGTGGCGGGCGCCTGTAGTCCCAGCTACTCGGGAGGCTGAGGCCGGAGAATGGCGTGAACCCAGGAGGCGGAGCTTGCAGTGAGCTGAGATCTGGCCACTGCACTCCAACCTGGGCGGCAGAGCGAGACTCCGCCTCAAAAAAAAAAAAAAGAAAAGAAAGGCACAGATCTGCCATAGGAAGGATTTTGTTCTCTGCCTAGAAAAAGGGAGGCATGGATGGAATAAGGAATGGGCTTGGGATGGAGACTAAAGTTTCAGATGGTTTATATTCTGCACCTATAGGCTTGACTGACCCTCAGGGCCACTCTTTGTAGGAAAAGAAAAAAGTTATCCAGGCTAGTGGAGCAGCTGGGTTCTAAACTAGAGCACTGCGTTTTCCCCTTCTCCACATATCAAGGCAAGATTGGATGATCTGCCCCAGTCAAGGTCTCCCAGCAAGCTCCCCTCAGAGCCTTATATAACAGGCAGGCCTGGTTGCAGAGAGGACCAGTAGCTGACCGACCTGCTCAGCCCCTCCCTACAACTCATTAAGAATGTATGAGGCGGCCGGGCGCGGTGGCTCACGCCTGTAATCCCAGCACTTTGGGAGGCCGAGACGGGCGGATCATGAGGTCAGGTGATAGAGACCATCCTGGCTAACACAGTGAAACCCCATCTCTATTAAAAATACCAAAAAATTAGCCGGGCGTGGTGGTGGGTACCTGTAGTCCCAGCTACTCAGGAGGCTGAGGTGGGAGAATGGCGTGAACCTGGGAGGCGGAGCTTGCAGTGAGCCGAGATTGCACCACTAGGCTCCAGCCTGGGTGACAGAGTGAGACTCCAAAAAAAAAAAAAAAAAAAAAAAGTATGAAACACTTATTGGTATAAACACTAGCCAGTGTCCTTCTAAATGTGTACATATAGGTAGGCAGTTAGAAGTGAAGCTATTCGTTGATTTAAATTCCTGCAAATACTACATAATTGATTTGACCCAAATTTGCCTATAATTATCAACATACCATGGAAAATTTTAGTATCATATCCTCTAAAATTTTAAAAGCTAAAACATACATCTCAGTTTTTGAAATTCTACGACATCATTTACACTGAAAACATATAGTAAACCATTAGTCCAAGAACAGTGATAGCTGATACATATGATGAGCTACCAGTGTTTGACACCGATAAGAGTCCTATGGGGTGGGAGCCATTCTTACAACCTATTTGCAGATGAGAGCACTGAAGCTCCAGCAGGTTCAGTTCTTTCTAGAGTCACAGTGCTGCTAAGAGCCAACGCTGAAGTCTGAGAAGCTGAGTTTATACAATCAACTTGAGATCAGTTTGCTTTAGGGTAAGGAAGAAGAGATGGTGGTCCAACTCTGCCTGTAGGATCTTCCCATGGTTTCCCATTTCTCATGGTTTCCCTCTTCCCTCAGGGACCCCTGGCGATGGCAGAAATGAACCCAGCACAGGTGAGTAGAATGTTTTCTACCTTTCACCTACCCGTTATCTCATAGATGGTTTTGGCACCTCCATACAAAGAAAAGTGGTGTCCTGAGACTCTTTCTCTGTCTTTTTCCCTCTCTTATGTCTGAAAAGTGGGTGGTTCCACCAGTTCTAGTATCTTAAATTAGGTCTGAGATTTTTGTTTGATTGTTTGAAGTTTATTGTGACACCTTATCTGGATGGCCCTGGATTATATGGAGTGGTTCCCATTTTTGACAACTGACGTGGTAACATCTGTCAGAGTGTCATGGGCACAAGATTAAGAATGTTTCAATGTTTGGAGGAGAGACTGAACTGGATTTTTAGTTAACTGCAAGTGTCTGTTATATCAGATAGGAATAGGGAGCAGAGTGGGAGGTGGCTAGAGACACACAAACATCAGGCCTGGAATGACAGCCTAGGTCCTGGGTCTCTAATCTAAGGGAGGTGGTAGATGGGGAAGATTCGAAGCAGAAGAGGGCAGTGATAGGACCCTAGCTTAAGGAACTTTCTTTGGCTTCTGAGGAGGACAGACTGTGGAGGTGAGGGTAATGGCAGGGAGATCTGAGAGGATGTTCCTGCAGCAGTCTAGGTGGATGTTGGTGGTGGCTTGTCAAGAGTAGTGTTGGCTTCAGGATGTGTTTTGAACAGCAGCTGCCCACATTTTATGATGTAGAGAGTGAGGCAGCTGGGGAGGTAGGATAGAAGGAGACTCAGGAGTGGCCCCATGGTTTTGTTTGGAATTATAGATGCTTCATTAGCTATGACGGGAGAAGTCAGCAGTAGAAGGAATTTTCAGAGTGAGTATGAGGAGTCAGTGTTTATTCAGGCCACAGATGTCTCAGAGACTCCTGGTGGAGGAGTTCAGGTTGGAAACGTCCGCACCACAGTGGCTGTCATATGGACCAGGATGAAGCCGTGGATTCAGTTTAGGTGACAGCATCTCTAGGTTATGGTGGCAGTGCTGTTTGATGATAGAGAATTGGAATGGGGCATGAGAACTGGGTCTCTTACTGGGTGCGTGTGTGGTGGGGGGGAGTCACTAGACAAATGAGGGAATGGAGTGTTTGTGGGGATGAGTGTATGTGAGATGGTGGGGTATAGGCGTGAGAAAGGCTTCTGAAGGAGAGTGGACATGATGGGGTTGATGAGGGGGTAATAGGGTGAGGTTGGAGAGTTGCTAAGCATCAGTTGGATTGAGGTGAGGATGGGAGTTGTATTAGTCCATTTTCATATTGCTACAAAGAACTACCTGAGACTGGGTAATTTATGAGGAAAAGAGATTTAATTGGCTCACAGTTCTTTTTCTGTTGTTTGTTTATTTTTGAGATGTGGCCCAGGCTGGAGAGCAGTGGCATAATCTCAGCTCACTGCAATCTCTGCCTCCCACGTTCAAGTGATTCTTCTGCCTCAGCCTCCTGAGTAGCTGGGACGACAGACTCATGCTACCACGCCCAGCTAATTTTTGTATTTTTAGTAGAGATGGGGTTTCACCATGTTGGCCAAGATGGTCTTGATCTCCTGACCTCATGATCCACCCTCCTCAGCCTCCCAAAGAGGCAGGACACAGCTGAGAGTATGTGAAGTCCTCACATGGTTGGTTTGGGCTGCTGACAGTGAACTGAGAAACAGGGGCATGTAGGGAACCTTCAAAGCGGGGCTTTGGGCTGCCCCCGGTGCTAGGGGACTTTGGTGTTCTGGGGCAGGCCTGGGAGTGAACTGGATGCTGAGCGTATTTGCCGTGCACCACCTGGTTTCCGTGTGCAGAGTGGCCTGTTAGGAGGTGAAGGAAATGCCTGTGGTGTGGGCTGGGAGGTGTCTGTGGAATTGACAGGAGTGGAGGTGTGAGAGATGGGATTGGAGTGCTGACCAAAGACTGATGTTTAGGCAGGAGAAGTGTGAATGGAGGCCCCAGGCCCTGCCCCTGGTAGCTCAAGGGAGGAGGATGAGTCTGAGTTTGGTTGTCTTGGGAGGCAAGATCTGGGTGACCCCATGGACTCTGGCTGGCAGGAGAGAATGGATCCCCCCATGGGAGTCCCACATTCCTTTTCTACCTTATCTTCCATCTGTTTCCTCTGTGCTGGACATGGTGGCCAATGTAAATATGGAGAGAAAAGTCACTTGTGCCACCTGGATGTTGTTTGTCTGCCACACTGGGAGGGTGTGGAGGAGACTGAGGAAGGAATGGAGGTGTAGGGGTTGATGATAGAGAATTGGAATGGGGCATGAGAACTGGGTCTCTTACTGGGTGCGTGTGTGGTGGGGGGGAGTCACTAGACAAATGAGGGAATGGAGTGTTTGTGGGGATGAGTGTATGTGAGATGGTGGGGTATAGGCGTGAGAAAGGCTTCTGAAGGAGAGTGGACATGATGGGGTTGATGAGGGGGTAATAGGGTGAGGTTGGAGAGTTGCTAAGCATCAGTTGGATTGAGGTGAGGATGGGAGTTGTATTAGTCCATTTTCATATTGCTACAAAGAACTACCTGAGACTGGGTAATTTATGAGGAAAAGAGATTTAATTGGCTCACAGTTCTTTTTCTGTTGTTTGTTTATTTTTGAGATGTGGCCCAGGCTGGAGAGCAGTGGCATAATCTCAGCTCACTGCAATCTCTGCCTCCCACGTTCAAGTGATTCTTCTGCCTCAGCCTCCTGAGTAGCTGGGACGACAGACTCATGCTACCACGCCCAGCTAATTTTTGTATTTTTAGTAGAGATGGGGTTTCACCATGTTGGCCAAGATGGTCTTGATCTCCTGACCTCATGATCCACCCTCCTCAGCCTCCCAAAGAGGCAGGACACAGCTGAGAGTATGTGAAGTCCTCACATGGTTGGTTTGGGCTGCTGACAGTGAACTGAGAAACAGGGGCATGTAGGGAACCTTCAAAGCGGGGCTTTGGGCTGCCCCCGGTGCTAGGGGACTTTGGTGTTCTGGGGCAGGCCTGGGAGTGAACTGGATGCTGAGCGTATTTGCCGTGCACCACCTGGTTTCCGTGTGCAGAGTGGCCTGTTAGGAGGTGAAGGAAATGCCTGTGGTGTGGGCTGGGAGGTGTCTGTGGAATTGACAGGAGTGGAGGTGTGAGAGATGGGATTGGAGTGCTGACCAAAGACTGATGTTTAGGCAGGAGAAGTGTGAATGGAGGCCCCAGGCCCTGCCCCTGGTAGCTCAAGGGAGGAGGATGAGTCTGAGTTTGGTTGTCTTGGGAGGCAAGATCTGGGTGACCCCATGGACTCTGGCTGGCAGGAGAGAATGGATCCCCCCATGGGAGTCCCACATTCCTTTTCTACCTTATCTTCCATCTGTTTCCTCTGTGCTGGACATGGTGGCCAATGTAAATATGGAGAGAAAAGTCACTTGTGCCACCTGGATGTTGTTTGTCTGCCACACTGGGAGGGTGTGGAGGAGACTGAGGAAGGAATGGAGGTGTAGGGGAGAGGGATGAGTTCCTGGAGAGAGAAATGTAGCAGTGATTGTACCCACTGGGTTTTTTCTTTTTCTCTTTCTTTTTCTCTTGTTTTTTCTTTCTTTTTTTCCTTTTTTTTTTTTTTTTTGAGATGGAGTCTCGCTCTGTTGCCCAGGCTGGAGTGCAGTGGCACAATCTTGGCTCACTGCAACCTGCACCTCCTGGGTTCAAGCAATTCTGCCTTAACCTCCCAAGTAGCTAGGACTACAGGCCTGTGCTGCCATGCCCAGCTAATTTTTGTATTTTTAGTAGAGACGGGATTTCACTGTGTTGGCCAGGCTGGTCTCGAGCTCCTGACCTCAGGTGAATTGCCCGCCTCAGCCTCCCAAAGGTCTGGGATTACAGGCGTGATCCACTGTGCCTGGCCCCCATGGAGCTTTCATTTATGGATGTGAGTGAGTGATGCCAGGGACAGGCCAATGACACTGAAAGAAGATATTTATTCCTTGGATGTTTCCCTAAGGAGGGTGCACACCACATTACACGGGGCCACATGGTGAAGCGCCAGATTTGGTCAGGAGAAAAATTGCCATGAGGAGAGTTTAGTTTAGTCCACAGATTCTCTTGGGATTTCAAAGGGAAACAAGGCAGGGCTGGGTGTCAGGATAGTTCGGCTAGTTTTAGTAATTCCAGGACACCTGGGCTATTGGGACTGTCCCTAGTTGAGCAGTACCTGTCCCTGGGTTGATTTAGAACATGGGAAATATTGGCTGGTTTGAGAAAGTTAGAGACGGAGGTGGTTCCGAATATGTGCCCAGGATGGTAGGGGAGATGGAAACACATTTGGCTGTTAGTCTGTCCCTGTGTTTAATGGGTGGTAAATATAAGTAGAAAATAAATAGAGAACTTAAGTAAATACAGCTTGAAAAGAAGCTGCTCATGTATTCATCTCTCCCAATTTGGCAGGGCCGTGTGGTCTTTGAGGACGTGGCCATATATTTCTCCCAGGAGGAGTGGGGGCACCTTGATGAGGCTCAGAGGTTGCTGTACCGCGATGTGATGCTGGAGAATTTGGCCCTGTTGTCCTCGTTAGGTAAGGCCTTCATACTTGCCCAGTGTCCTGGGTTGGGCTGTGTTGTCTCCTTTTACCTGAAGGTGGCTCTGCGTTTCCCACAGTGAGACCGTGGGTGCTGCTGCTTTTCCTTGTTTCCTGACATATGTTCTATGAGAGTCAGGACTGGGCTGTGTGCTGTGTGCTCCCTTTTTCCTAGCAGCCCCATCCCCTGCTGCTCCAAGGCTTGCAAGAAAGGGCTCAGGATCCAGAAATGTTGAAGTTGACATAGAGACCCACTGGCCCTGTGTTCTCATCTAATGCATGGGGTCTCTGTGCTCTGTTGTTCCCTTGCTCTTGCCAATATTTCTTGGTGCCTTCTTGTTCCTGGAATTTCTGGCACTGACCCGATCACTAATTTGGTGAAGCACTGGCTTGATTGTGCAGGATGTAGAAATCTTCTGTGAAGTTCTGGTGATTGTAGAATGTGGGAGATCATCAGGTGGTCTCTCTGGGCGTGTGCTTGTCTCTTTCTGTGTCTTTCCCCTGGGACTGGTCTCTTTCAGGTCTCACAGACTGTCACCTTAAGCAATGGGGAGGGCCCTGGTACCCGAGAGGGTGGATATTACTCCCTGAAGGGCTGTAGAGACTCAGAGGGACATGGTCCTGGTTCCTGGGAGTTGGGAAAAGGTGTAATATCACAGGTTGGGTCATACCACACTAGGAACCTGTCCTGTGACCCCTGTTGTTCAGTTCAAGACCGGTTGCCACAACTCACTCTTCCTTTCCTTCCCGCATTGTCATTTCTACTCTGACTTCTAATCCCTGGCTTCCACCTGTTACCTATTCTCTTCGACTGCTCCCTTTGCAGTGCCCTCCAATGCATGACCTGTACTTGAGGTGAGGTCTGCATGTATTTGTCAGTCGTCCCTGAATGCCATCTCCTCTGTCACAGTCAGATCTCTCTGGGTTTAGACACAGCCTTCTACACACTGCTCACTAGTCACCAGCAGCCATGGCTTGTGGAAGGCCATTTGCAGAGAAGTGATTTGGAGACCCTCCTTCTCCTCTCTGCACTGTACCCCTCTCTTGTGTTCCTACCTATCATCAGGGCTCTCCCATTAGGAGTATTTGCCAGGTCCAGCTCTGCACAGCAGGCCTTCTTCTCATTGGCCTTCGTGTTTGTATTACTTCGTTCTCACTCTGCTATTGGGAAATACCCAAGACTGGGTAATTTCTAAAGGAAAGAGGTTAATTGACTCACAGGTCCCCATTGCTGGGGAGGCCTCAGGAAACTTACACTCATGGCAGAAGGCAAAGGAGAAGCAGGCATCTTCTTCACAGGACAGCAAGACAAATGGATCCAAGCAGGGAAAATGCCAGACACATACAACCAGCAAATTTCATGAGAATTTACTCAGTTTCGTGAGAACAGCATGGGGGAAACTGTTCCCATGATTGAGTTATGTCCACCTGGTCCCACGCTTGACACGTGGGAATTATTGGCATTACAATTCAAGATGAGATTTGGGTGGGGACACAGAGCCTAACCATATTATTCCACCCCGGCCCCTCCCAAATTTTATGTCCCTTTCACATTTCAACACCAATCCTGCCTTCCAAACAGTCCCCCAAAGTCTTAATTCATTCCAGCATTAACCCAAAAGTCCAAGTCCAAAGTCTCATTTGAGACAAGGCAAGTCCCTTCTGCCTATGAGCCTGTAAAGTCAAAAGCAAGTTAGTTACTTCCAAGATATAATAGGGATACAGGCATTGGATAAATGTACCTATTCGTAATGGAAGAAATTGGCCAAAACAAAGTCTACAGGCCCCATGCAAGTCCAAAACCCAGCGAGGCAGTCATTAAATTTTAATGCTCTGAAATTATATCCTTTGACTCCCATCTCTCACATCCAGGGCACACTGATGCAGTAGGTGGGCTCCCACTGTCTTGGGCAACTCTGCTCTTGTGGCTTTGCAGGGTATAGACCCCCTCTCAGCTGCTTTCATGGGCTGGCATTGAGTGTCTCCGGCTTTTTCAGGCACACGGTGCAAGCTGTTGGTGGATCTACCATTCTGGGGGCTGGAGGACAGTGGCGCTCTTCTTGTCGTTCCACTAGGTAGTGCCCCAGTAGAGAGTCTGTGTGGGGGCTCCAACCCCACATAACCCTTCCTGCAGTGCCCTAGCAGAGGTTCTCCATGAGTTCCACCCCTGCCGCAGACCTCTGCCTGGACATCCGGCATTTCCATACATCCTCTGAAATCTAGGTGGAGGTTCCTTCCCAAATATCAATTCATGACTTCTGTGCACCCACAGGCCCAACACCATGTGCAAGCCACCAAGGCTTGGGGCTTATACCCTCTGAAGCAATGGCTGGAGCTGTACCTTGCCCCTTTTAGCCATGGCTGGAGCTGAAGCAGCTGGAATGCAGGGCACCATGTCCCAAGGCTGCATAGAACAGGGGGACCTAGGGCCAGCAGCTGGGAGGCAGGGCTCCATGTCCTGAGGCTGCACTAAATAGCCTGGGCCAGGCCCACAAAACCATTTTTCCCTCCTAGGCCTCTGGGCCTATGATGGGAGGGGCCGCCAGGAAGGTCTCTGACAGGTGCTGGAGACATCTTCCCCATCATCTTGGTGATTAACATTCGGCTCCTCGTTACTTATGCAAATTTCTGCAGCAGCCTTGAATTTCTCCCCAGAAAATGGGTTTTTCTTTTCTATTGCATAGTCAGGCTGCAAAATTTCCAAACTTTTCTGCTTTGCTTCCTCTTGAACACTTTAGCACTTAGACATTTCTTCTGCCAGATACCCTAAGTCATCTCTCTCAAATTCAAGTTCCACAGATATCTAGGGCAGGGGCAAGATGCCGCCCGTCTCTTTGCTAAAGGACAAGAGTCACCTTTACTCCAGTTCCGAACAAGTTCCTCATCTCCGTCGAAGACCACCGCAGCCTGGACTTCATGGCCCATATTGCTAAATCAGCATTTTGATCAAAGCCATTCATCAAGTCTCTAGGAAGTTCCAAACTTCCCCACATTTTCCTGTCTTCTTCTGAGCCCTCCAAACTGTTCCAACCTCTGCCTGTTACCCAGTTCCAAAGTCACTTCCACATTTTCAGGTATCCTTACAGCAGTATTTCACTACCTCGGTACCAGTTTACTACACTTGTCCGTTCTCACACTGCTATTAAGAAATACCCTGGATGGGCGCGGTGGCTC